AAAACTAAGAAAATAGCCTTAGCTAATAGGGCAAAACACCTATGTGAGAGAGAACCTTTCCCCCCTTTAAATAAGCTAGACTGTAGTTGTCTTTTTATTAAAAAAAATTAGTTCTTGGTTGTTTCAAAATATTACTTGAATTTTTTTCTGCCTTTTCTCATTAAAACTAGTTTGTTGGGAATGGGCTATTTCCTTTTTAGTTCTTATATTTTATTTCATGTATGCTTTCTGCTTCACTACATAGGTCTTTTTAGCCACTTTGATTTTGCATTATCTGTAAGGTGCAGTAACTGGGCACCCTCACTTAAATTGTACTGATTTGTTTGAATTATAATGCTTATGCAAACACAATAATGTTTAAAATTTCTATTTCTACATTATAATTGTACGTAATAGTGGGATCCATTGTGACATATTTGTACATGCACATAAAATTTGGTCAGTTTCATTCCCCATTGCCTCTTCTTCCCTCCCCTCCTCACTACCCCTTGTCTTCTTCCCCTACTCTCCCAGTCTTCCTTCTGTCTTCATGAGATCCATGCCCTCTTTTCCCCCTTTCTCCATTTTACCTTCTCCATATAGTCTGGCCTATTTTTCATAATTTAATGCTGTCATGTTCTATCCATTTTCTTGCAAATGACACAATTTCTTCTTTCTAACTGAATGAAACTCCATTGCAAACACAATGATCTTATTTAGCTGCTTTAGCCAACCACTTGAATGTGTGGTTAAAGCAGTAGGATTCACTGAAGGTTGCTTTTTTTTTTTTAAGTTGATTATCTTTAGTTATACATAACATTAGGATTCATTTTGATATATTTTTAAAAGCATGAAATATAATTTGCTCTAATTCAGTCCCCAGTACTTCCTCTTTCCCTCCTTTCTTCCCTCTCCTGTTCTCCTCCTTCTACTCTACTGATCTTCCCGCTTTTTTTTTTAGTGTCTTGTGAATGTAATGATGGTGAGATTCACTGTGGTATATCATATATGTGTGCATAAGAAGGTTAGGTCAGATTCATTCCACTGTCTTTCCCTATCTCATCCCTCCTTCCTTCCCCTTCATCTACTCCATTGATCATTCTTCTATTTTGTTTTCTCCCCTCTCCCAATTTTAGATTCCTTCCGAATATCAAAGAAAACATCCTACCTTTGACTTTTTGTGACTGGCTTATTTCACTTAGCATGATAGTCTGCAGTTCCATCCATTTACTGACAAACACCATAATTTCATTCTTCTTTATGGCAGAGTCATACTCCTTTGTGTGATATGTGTGTGTGTATGTGTGTGTGTGTGTGTGTGTGTGTATTACATTTTCTTTATCCATTTATCTGTTGGATATATGTGTGTGTGTGTGTGTGTGTGTGTGTGTGTGTGTGTGATCACATTTTCTTAATTCTTTCATCTGTTGTAGGGCACCTAGGTTGGCTCCATATGTTGGCTGTTGTGAATTGTGCTGCAATAAACATTGATGTGGCTGTGTCACTGTAGTATGCTATGTCTTTTGGATGTATACCAAGGAGTGGAATAGCTGGGTCATATGGTGGTTCCATTCCTAATTTTTGTTTTTGAGAAATCTCTACTTTCTAGAATGATTGCACTAATTTGCAGTCCCACCAGCAATGTGTGAGTGTGCCTTTTTCCTCACATCCTAATCAACATTTATTGTTACTTGTATTCTAGGTAATTGCCATTCTGACTGGAGTGAGATGATATCTCAGAGTAGTTTTAATTTGCATTTCTCTAATTTCTAGAGATGTTGAATATTTTTTTTCATGTATTTTTCAACCATTTGTATAGCTTTTGATTAGTGTCTGTTCAGTTCTTTTACCAATTTATTGATTGGGTTATTTGTTTTTCGGTGTTAGTTTTTTCGAATTCTTTGTATATCCTGGATATTAATGCTCTGTGTGAGGATCAGGTGGCAAAGATTTTCTACCTTTATGTAGTGATAGTTGCATTTGGGGATGGACTGGGGCCATATCTACATAATTAGCATCTCAGCGCTCCTATTTCTTCACTCTTTTCATGACCCTTGTTTTTTACTTATTTATCTCCTACTTTTTGTCATTTTACTTGTTTCATAAAGGACTCAGTTTAGCATCTTTTTCTCATTCCCATGGTTCTGAGATGTGTTCAGTTAATTTCCAGGTTTCTCTCTCTCTCTCTCTTTTTCCTGGGTTTTATTTCTTTTCTGATTCACAGGGCTAGCTGGCCTAGAAATAATTTTTCCACATAAAAAAAAATTGATCCTATTAATTCGGCCAATGAACAGGATATAGAAGGGCCGTGGGCATTGCAGATTATAAAACAACTTAATTAAGAAAGCAGTAGCAGTGTATAATCTTAATAAAATTTTTAATTTTATGGTGTTTCTTATGCACCAAGGACATTATGTTTTCTTGTTTAATCTTTATTGTAATACCGCAGGATGGGGATGATCTACCCTTAGCCTTAAAGCTGGTACCACTAAAACTGTAGTCCTAAGTCAAGTATCTCCTACACCCAAATCTTGTCTTTGTGACATTGTGTTGACTTCTGATCTTTGAACTTAACCTCATGCTCTCTAGCTTGATGGTGACGGGGAGTTCCAGTTAGTCTTTCAAAAGGAATGCCAAGAAGATCTTTGGTGATATTAGCCACCAAGCTTCTTCTGGCTGGGATGACTGTAGTGAGCAGCACCTTGAGTGAGCTATATGCTCTCAACTTTCCTGTAATGTGCTTCTTCAGAAGCACCCGAGTAGTTCCTCTACAGATGCCCAAAGATTATTAGGGGGTGATTGCAAATTCTGACTGGTACTTCTTCACATCTTTGGTTTATGGAAAATTGTTGCCTGTTCAGTTGAATCAAAACATGTTTAGTTGGCTATTAAAAGTATGGGAACCTCTGATTTATAGATTTCTCCGTCATCTCTGCTAGGATTACCCGAACATTTATTCCTTTGGGGTGACATACCTTCCTTTTATGTGCACCTCTTTATTATTCTTTATTATTAACAGTGTCTCATTCAGTACTCTGCTGCTCAGCAGTCCCAATGAAGAGGGGATATGTTTAATTATATTGGAGACAATGATGTAGGCACATTTTAAACAATAAGGAATACAAGGTGGCTTGCCCACTTGCCATTGTAACATTAATCACTGAAGGACAGAACCCATGAAGAAACCTTGCTCTCCAACCAACCCTTGTCTAGGGCTACACAATTTAGAATTTTTTTCCCAGTCACTACCAATTATTTTCCTTTTGCTCATCATTAAAATTTATACCTCCAGCAAATACTTGCACAATTATCTTTGGGTAATAGGAAGAAACTCAGGAGTACTTGAAAAATATATTTAATCATATTTAACTTTAGCAATTAAAATTGATCTTCCCTCTTTCTACTGTGTCCCTCTCAAATATAAAATCTAAAAAAATAGAATAATGAGTAAAATTTTTAAAATACCTATGAAATTTGACAACATAGTATAAAAAATTTAGACAGTCATAATTTTATCCATTCTTCCCCTGCTAGTAAACTAAACAAATAAACATAAGTGAAAAAAACAAAATAAATAATGTGCTAAAGTTAGTAAAAGGAAAAAAAAAACAAGAAAAAAATCAAAAGAAGTAATCATCATTGATCAGTTGACATCCCTAGATTAAAAGTGTTCATTCTAGATACATCCTTTTGAGGTCAATCAGAGGAACTGATTTCTTCATGTAGGCTTGAGTTTTATTGTATTACTTGTATTCTTTTTTAAAATTTTCTTCACCAAATTGTTTGTATCCTAAAACCTAATTTTTAATTGTTCAAATCTTAAAACCTAATTATTGCTATAATGACATCTATGTTAAACTTACCTAAGAAATTTGTCATCGTATACATTAGCATATATATTTTTAAAAAGTCACATGAAATGTTTTTCAATATAACCTTTTTTCTTATACTGTTCTTTTTTCTTAATTTATTATTATTATTTTTTAATGTTTCGACCCTCTTTAACTCTTTGATGGCTTCTAATAAATCTGTTATTTATTTATTTATTTATTTATTTTTATTTGTTATTTTTAGATGTACATGACAATAGAGTGTATTTTGATGTTTTATACATGCATGGAGTATAACTTATTCTAATTAGGATCCCATTCTTGTGGTTGTACACAATGTGGATTTTCACTAGTCATGTATTCATATATGAACATAGGTTTTATACTACTGTCTTTCCTATTCCCATCCTCCTTCCCTTCCCTTCAGTCCCCTTTGTCTAATCCTGTGAACTTCTATTCTTCCCCCGACCCCACCCCTTATTGTATGTTAGCATGCACATATCATAGAGAACACTCAGCCTTTAGGTTTTTGGGACTGACTTATTGCACTTAGCATGATAGCCTCCAGTTCCATTCGTGGTAAATCTATATCAACCAACAATTTTCAATATGGTAATTTTCTTTTTATTCAAATGCCTTCAAAAAACAAAACTTTGAAGAAAATAATTGCTCTATGGTGACATAATAGGTAGGAATAATAAACTTGGAAACATGGAGCTTCTTTCTCTTTTTTGGTACCAGGGATTGAACCCAGGGGTGCTTTGCCACCTACCTATATTCCCAGGCCTTTTAATTTTTTTTTTTTTAAATTTTCATACAAGGTCTCACTAAGTTGCAAGTTGTGGTTCTCTTGCCATACCTCCAGAGTTGCTGGGATTACAGGTGTTTGCCGCATGTCACAGTTTATTGCAGTGCTATAATTGTTATTAGGTTCAATCAAAGAAGGGCTTTCTTCCATTTCTACTTTGGAGACAATTATATTGCAGCTGTCTAGCTATTAGTATTTTTACTACTATTAACTATACCCTAGTGACTATTAATTTGTTTCAATTCACGTATAACTCAAACAACATAAAGAAAATCAAATCACATATTGTTGAGAAAATTAAAGGAGAAAATGTCTTCAAATTTAAGACATTTCTTTTACTTGAACAGTTTCAGTATGTACATTTTTTTCTAAATCTCTCTTAGTTCCTGAGCTTCATGGAAAACACAAGCCATTGATCACGTATGTGGGAGATTCTACTGTCCTGGTGTGTAAATGTGAACATTGTTTTCCTACAAATTGGACATGGTACCGTAGTAATGGGAGTGTGCAGGTAAGAGCTTGCTTCTTTGATTTGAAGAAAGCAACAATACCAACAAAACCCCTTTAGTTTATAGATAACAAGATTATAATAGACTCAAAATGCCTACTATGTTTATTTTTTTGGTATGTACTCATAATGAAAGTGATAAATGGAGTTGTCTTTTGGTGTTTCAACATATTGCATTGTACATATGAAGATATCTTAGTTTCGTTAGCTTGTACTTTAATTTTTTTTTTTAGGTTTAGCAATTTATTTAAATACTTCAAAAGGAAGTTAGATTTCATTTATAGTTAACCACTTTAGAAATAAACTCATCAAAAGAGATTCTTTCCCTAATCTTCCATGAAAGTAACTGGGGAAAAAAAAAAAAACTCCTTTATTTCCCATTTCTGTCTTATGAAGTATCTGTGACAGAATGTAACATAAGACTCTATTTGAGAAAAATAATGAAAATTTGGTAACAAACTTAGGTTCTATCTGTAAGTGCTATATGCTTTTTTTTGGCCTTCCAGTCACTGGATGGGAGCCAAACACTGTACTTTAATTTTCATTTATTTAAGGGAAATGACTATTCAAAGAGCTGATATGAAGGAAAGAAAAAAGGATTCAATAAATCAATTTTGGTTTCTTCCTCCCACATAGCCTCAAATGGCTAGAAGACTTCAGGGACATCCTTCTCTAGCCCTGCTACTAATGATCATTGAAATTAAAGCTCTGTTAAAGGCAGGCTACAATTCTTGAAGAAGCATATTTGTCAGAATAAATTTTATAATGAAATATTAAATTCCTTCTGGGACAAAATTGGTGACTTATAGACAGCTGAAGGATGACAGAGGGAGAACTTGGAAAGCAGGAATGACTGATTCCGTGGTAACATTGGCTTAAGTTTTCAAACAATAGCTCCAGGTTGTGCAGACTTACCCAATTAATACTTCTCTTTGTCATGTTACTGATGATTAGGAAAGGTGTATGCAAATATTAAAAAAATAAATTTGTAAAAATAAATCAAGTGTTTGAAATACACAGCCTGATTTATATGTGCATATATGATATCAAACAGTGGCCTAAATTGAATCATATATATTTTTTCTTTCCTTCTCCTCTTCCCTGCCCTTTGTCCCTTTTCTCCATTCTACTGATTTCCCTGTGATCCCTCCGCCATCTTTCCTTTCCTTTTTCTTCTCTAGCTTCCACATGTGAAAGAAAATATATGACCTTAAACCTTCTGAGTTTGGCTTATTTTGCTGAACATAATATCCTCTTTTCCATCCATTTTCCTGCAAATGACATATTTTCATTTCTCTTTATTACTGAACAAAACTCCCTAAATAAATTATATTAAACTTTTAGAATGTCATTTTACATATATATACCTGTGCTTCTGTCCATTTGTTAGGCAAATTATTCTCTTAAGTTGACTCTGAGCATGGGTCATAATAAATGTGAGAAAAGTTCAGGGAAGAAGGTCCAGGTCAAAACTTTAAGTCAAGTATTTTTCTAAAATGTAACCAACCATCTGCATCAGAATCAGCTGGATTTATTTTAAATGCAAGACTTTGACTTTTCATCTCTGACTCTGATGTTTGTCCTAAACATCCCTGGCAGTGCCGTGTACATTGAGTCAGGTCACTACAATGTTTTTGACCAACAAGAAACTCACAGAGAGTTCTTCCTCAGGTAACCTCTGAGAATATTTTTATGCAGAGTAACATTTATTGAACAGTGAGACCAGGGAAGACATCAGATGGGCCTAGGAATAAAATCTGATTTAAATTGATTAAATATACCAGCTTCCAAATAGTTTAGTATGACTCTTATGAGCCTGGCAAAAACCTAGAGAATCTCAGAAGCCATTTTGCCTATGAGACAGAATTTGGGACGTGAAGGATAAGAAGGGGTACAAGCCCCTGAAGATAGCAAATCTCTTTTTCTATTGCTTTTGTATCGGCTTGGAAGGCCTGAAGATTGCAGCTTCAGTTCCAGTGTGGAGAGCTCCCACTGTCAGGGTTAGTGGTCGACTTTCATGGGAGTGATCAGAAATAGTGGGTAGCTTCAGGGTTGGGAGTTGTTTCACTGTGTACTTGTGCTTGTGAAGAGCTGGTCAGTCTTGGAATGTAAAACCCAGATGGCTGGAATTCTTCTGTTTTTTATTCTCATGTAATATTCACCCATGATGATCTATTCACTTTTTAAAAACATTCAGTGCTAAATTCTTATCACAGAGAATATTTATTCCTTGATTTGCTACCTGGAAAATGAAACTCTGATAAGATTTAATTCTGTTGTATATAAGGTCTCACAAATTTTAGTATGCCTTTTTTCCAGGAAGCAGTTTTCTTGGCATTACGTGATAACTTTGCTCAAAATTAGATCATATAGGACATGTGTCTTTTACGTGATATGATAGCACTGGATTTTAACATTTCCTTACATTAGGTTCCTGTTGATGTTCACATGAATGATAAATATGTTATCAATGGAAAACATGATAATGAAACAAGGCTCAAGATAATGCATCTTTCGGAGGAAGATGGCGGATCCTATTGGTGCCATGCAATATTCCAGCTGGGCGAGAGTGAGGAACACATTGAACTTGTTGTGCTGAGCTTTTTGGTGCCCCTCAAACCCTTTCTTGCAATCATTGCTGAAGTTATCCTTTTAGTGGCTTTTATTCTGCTTTGTGAAATTTACACGCAAAAGAAAAAGAAGCACCCAGGTAGGATTTATTTTTTCATTGTTATTTATTTATCACTTACTTATGATATGTACTATGACTTAATATATCACAGTGATTTTGAAGTATTGTGAAAGAATCCCGTTTTATTATTTGCAGCAGTATTTATGTTAACAACAAGGGAGATAGTGAGCTGTGAGCCTATATTGATGGTCTTCCTGTTTCAACTTCCTTAAAAATATTAGTAATAAATTAACTTTTTTCTTTTAATGCTACTGATACCTGAGCACTAATGAAGGGATGTGACAGTTGACATTGCAATATTAGAAAAATCTGTCTTTGCTTAATATAGAAGATCTTAAAGACAGTTTTTTTTTCACTTGGATAATTCATTTTAAAATATTTTTATCAAATATTCTGGCATTTTCTTAAAAGACGTTGTCTTATCAGTGTCTTATTTTTGTAGCCTGTGCCTGATGGGATATGGGTTGAGAAACCAATGGTCCCTTGAAAGAATCTACTATACATTCTGTATTCTTTTCTGATTTTGTATTGAATTTTTAATAACTTAAATAGTGGCAGATAATCAGTCATATATTTGAAAATCCCAGGCTTTTCTTGGTCAGAAATGGAGATGAAGTCTGTAGATAAAGAAGAAGGCAAGCAGGAGCACCTGCATTGGTGCTTCTGGTTAAGATAATGTGTTTTAGCTTCATTCCAAACAGGAAGAGCAGCACTGGGCATTCTTAGCTTGGAAGGGGGGTTAAATTGAACATGTATGTTTCGTTAAAAGTAGTAAACCTTTCTTCTCATGTTCTTCTTTTGTTACACAGAGGAAGGGAAAGAATTTGAACAAATTGAACAGCTGTAAGTATTACTTTTTACAGATTATTTTTTGCTTCAGTTAAATACAGATAAATATGGAACTGAATGAACTATTTATAGTCAGGAACACAAAAAGCACCAGAATATATGATATGCATGTTATTTTCTGAACATGTCCATGAGGTAGTAAAGATTGGCATTTGGAGTCCTCTGCCTGTGTTAGAGTCCCCATCTAGGGCTGAGGCTGTAGCTCAGATGCAGAGTTATGTGTGAAGCACTGGGTTTGAGTCTTAGCACTGCATAAAAATAAACAAAATAGAGGCATTCCGTCCATTTATAACTACAAAACAAGATTAAAAACAATAAAAACTACAGAATAATTCCCCTGTATCACTTACTGCCCACACTTCTCTGTGCTTCAGTTTTCTCCTTTACAGAATGGGTTCATAGTAGAATTTATCACTTAAACCTATTGGATTAAATAATAAATGTAAAAATGCTCAGCATAGGCTTTAATGCATCAGTGTTCAATGACCACAGGGAAATATCATTTGCTTAAATGGTTCTCGTTCTTGACTACATAGTCAGATACAGTGCTCAGACCTTGCTGGATCCCCCAGACCACAACCTCTGGGATTGGGTCTGGGCATTTGAATTTCTTGAAAACATCTACCAGTAGTTCTGATTGTCAGTTTGAAAATCACTGGTTTGTAATTCTATTAGTGATTATTCTTGAGAGAATACAAATTTTGTCATGAATTCTTCTACAACCCTTTTTAGAGTAGAACATGAGGAAGGCTGGGAATAGAATAGCTGGGAATATAATTCGGTATGGGAAAGGTGGAAATGAAGTATGAAGGCCCGTGACAGAGGTGCCCAAGATGGGGATTAAAGTCTGAGTAACAGAGCCAAGGGCCACAGACTGAGAATGTGAGACTATTGCAGGTGAAAAAACCTGAGAACTGGGAGATCTGGACAACTGTCACCAACACAAAATGACACTGGAAGTTTATCCTTATTAGCCCTGAGGTGTCCTGGGGTGTGAGTCTGCAGCCACCTGAAAGAACAGTATTGGGCCAGACAGTTGTCTTGCAGCAATTCACAGACATTCAAACAGGCATTTTGACTCAGTTCACAAATAGCAGATAAAAAAAAAAAAAAGAGAGAGGGAGAGATCAAGAGGTGAGCTTTCAAGTTAATAGCACAAAATAATTAAAACAGGGAGTTCCATGAAACCAGGTAGGGAAGAAAAGGCTTTGTATTGCAATCTGACATTCTCCCAGTTGGTAGGCAATCACACTTCTCCCAAGGCAGTCTGCTATCTTCCTGGAGAACTTGGGCAGTTTGTTTATTGTGACCTGAACTTTGAATTGTTCTGATTCCCATGTATTGGACCTCTTTCTTATTCTTAGAATCTTAAATATGCAACAGCTGTTCACATACTGGAAGACAAGCATAACCTTGCCTTGCTTCTTCTGTTCCCCTGGTTCAGCCTCCACAGAGTCCCTGACCATTCCTGTGAGGTCACAAGTAGAGGCTGCATTCTAGTTTGGGCAAGACATACTAAGAAGCAGGTTGCCTGAACAGTGTGGAATGGACTGTCAGTTCTGTATAATTTCATGGTCATTTACACAGCCTCCCCTATTCAGTATTTTTTCCCTTAGGATATCTTAGGAGACAATATCAAACTGATTCAATCTATAATACAAAGAATGAATTTTTTTTTTTTTTGAGAACTGGGGTAGTGCACATGATTTTCTTCGTCCTTCACTGTACCACAGAAATCATTGAAAATGTCTCAATCTTTTAGGTTATCTCAGTAAAAGATTAGTACAAGGAGCGAGGACACTCTAAGTTCATTTAGACCAACCCAACCTTGTACCCTGTAACAATGTTCTTTTAGATGTTTTTGTTAGAGATAATGTTGGGAGGCAGAAAATATTTTTATGTATTATACACAAAATATATTTTACATATAACATTTATATATGTACTTAGATTCCCCATGATTATAGGAGTTTCTTGATGAAAAAGATCTAAAAATATAATACTAAACACAATAACATCAAAACAAGCTAGTTACTGCAAATAGTTCAATAAGGAGATTGTGCATTTATTCACTCTACTTGGGTGTATAAGGATGCATAATCTACACAGTTCCACCTACCACCATCCACACACTCCAGTTTTGACATTATTGATTGGGTGGTTGAATTTATTGCTTAGTAGCAGTAGTTTAATGAGCTCAAGCCTGCACAGATCTCCAAGGACATTCACAATGCACAACAGTTACCTAGTTTAGTCATTCTTAAGAATCTGAAGCCCACATTTATAGTCTTGTTCTGATGTACATTGGGTAAAGAACTGTGTTTGACCTCTAATGCAATGTGTAATAAACATCAAAGCATGACACCTGTGTGACACAACCTAGTTGAGCTCCTTATTGGCTATTATCTTGCATGATTCCAAACAATGCCTAAGTATGGTTATATGCCCAAATCTCATTCGTGCTCTTCCCTTTGCATAGAACAAACCTGCTTTTATCATCGACATCAAGGCAACAACCCTTCTCCAAGCAGTGACACAAAAATAAAAATCAACATTAAGAATAAAATATTTTTAGAAAAATGCATTCTGTCTGCATTGGCATTTTCCATTTTATCCTGATTGCCATGATGTAAATGGTATATACTGACTTAATTTTATGCATTGTAAACATATGATGATTTCCCTTTTTGTTTTCCTCACAGGAAATCAGATGATAGCAATGGTATAGAAAATAATGCCCCAAGACACAGAAAACTTGTAAGTTACTTCCAAATGATCACCGAGCTACAAGGCAAAATCCAATATACACAGACTATTAATCCAGTTTCTTTTGAGTTTCAAAACAGACATAGTAATTGACAGTGTGCTTGAATATGCTTGTTATACTATTATAGAAGAAGATATATAGTTATATAAAAATTAATAGCATCCTTCTCCACCAGAAAATAGGTAGCAACCAATCTAAAAGTAAATCAGTTGCACTCTCTATGTATTGTTTTTTTATCACCTTGGGCTTGTTTCTTTTATAATTTTTCACATAACGTTTTCTTTCTCTCAAGTTTTCTGTATTATTCTATCATTTTATTTTCATATATTCCCATATATTTAGTGCTGTGAATTAATTCATAATTGCTGATTTTTTTATTGAGTTAAAATTTTCTTAATTCATCAACAGTAGAGCTCCTCACTTTGGTAGTAGGTTACCCCTGTTTCCCAGTACTTTTGTTTTGCTAAAATGATAGTTATTATAGAATAATGAGGACATTAATTAATTATGTTTTATTATGTTTTTTTTTAATGCAGGAATCTGGGAACCAATAAATGGAAAGATCATGTCAGGGGTCATGGGAAGATGTGTGCAGAGTTTGTATTTCATCTTGGTTTATCCTTTCTTTTAAGACCATCAGAGTTTTTATTTTTTTAAAAGATAAAAAGTTTATGCAACACACAAAGTAGTAGCTTCATAAACAAAATGTGCTATCTCATATCTAAAGATATATTTTTATTTTGTTATTGTTTTTATGTTAAAGCAAGGTAAATTGTTTCAGACATGTTCTATGAGTTGTAACCCAAGATAATGAATTACATCCTGGTCCATAACCGACACACAGAACAGTCACCAGCAAAATCAGTTAATAGTTTATTGAACAAATGTCACTTAAGACCTGTTTAAAACCAAAGAATTTATTAAAGAGAAAGCCTTTGCCATTTGTCTAAAAAAGTTATTTTTTCCCCAAATCTTTCTCTGTATGTGAAGTATTTGTAACAATTTTGATGTAAAGTTCTTCCTTCTGTGATACTGTAAAATAATGTGTCTTCTTTGGAAATGAATACTTTGTGCTTTTGCTAATGATGGTTATCCTACAATTTGTAGAAGAAATATATACTTTTAATCCATAAATGATGGTTTAAAGCAAGGAAATAAAACCATTTACTTGTCCCAAAGTGTTGTCACTACAAAAGCAAATCCTCCTAATCTTAATCCGCTCATTTCCATTGCTTTCCTACACCAAACCAAAGATCTGCTTAGTCTTTATAAGTAGAATCCCCTTCTACCCCCCATGGGATTTGAACTTTTTCAGGTACACCTCCTGGTGTTCATGTTTTAAGTTGCAGAACTATATAGTCATAATGCAACACTGTGACTATCTGTAATTCATCTGTGGTTCATGGTTTCCTAGTATCTTGTATTTGTTATGTAGTTTCTTGGAATTTATAACTGGTTAAATATATAAAAATACACAATTGATGCTTATGATAATAATTCCTTAGACTGAAATATGAAAGTACTAAAGTACTTCTATGTTGTTGCAAATGCCTTAGACTTATCTTGAAAAAAATAGATAGTTTCTATTGCACATATAACTGAAGTATTCTCTAAGGTCGCTATAACTAAATGAAATGAAATCTAAACGGATAGGAAAAGTGATCAATGGCTTTAAATGAAATATGGAAATTATGCCTCATACTAGATTGGTTGCTCTTGATACTTAAGGGCCTGGGGTCCTGCTGCTTATCAGGCAACAGGGTTAAGAACAATTAGAAGCAAAGAGGGAAGAGCTTGGGACTATGTTAAAAATTCACATTTCTTGGTGATTAAAGGATTAAAACTTGGGGAAGAAAATTCAGTGATTTGAAAAGAAATATTTTATAGAAACTTGCACCATGCATATTGGTTAAGAAAATTATAAGATTGGTTAAGAAAATTATAAGATTATAATTTAGTGAAAATTATATCGTATCTTACCTAATGTTTACCAATATTAATAGCATAAGTAAGACACATAAAGTAAGCACTTGGAAACTGCTCATTACTTTATTGCTGCAGCAGTGCAGTCTTTTGTCATAAAACATGTTGAGTAGACATATAAATTTTATCAAACTGGAATACACTGCTTTGTGGCCAAATTAATTTTATTGGTCTTAGAGCCATTTATTTGTTTTGATTTAATTCATTGTTAATTTGAAAAAATTATCTTGGGTGATATGATGGCAGTTAGTTTAATCCAAACAACTTGAATTCAGTGAAAAATTAATCAAAACTGTTATTTGAGTAAGTCCAATTCAAATTGGTATACCTGTGACTAGCTGTGTACAACACCAAATCAGTGTAGCTCTTTTGCATACACATGCTTCTATTTTGACACCAACAACTGTTTAGGTTAAAATAGATTTCAAGAAAAAAAAATGAAAATTGGTGCCCTAAGGTTAAATGATCTGAAACATTTATCTAGGAAATTGAAATTTTAAGTGGCATTGCTTTTAAGTGGCAATGCTTACCATTTACTTTTTCTAGCAAAGACAAGTTATTTTAATAACTTTAGGCAGAAAAGATACTCCAACATTTAAGTTGATGTTTGGCTTTTCAGAGTCTCTCTGGAGGGCTCTGGAAAATTGCTTTAGCACTGTTTATTAAAAATGAAATGATTCCATTACCTCACCTCATGGAAGAGATAAATGGAATAACTAAGAACGTCCAATTGTCAATGGACTACAGATACTAAGCAGAAGAAAAGCTGAAGCAGAGAAACCACTCCAGCTTTATATGTTAGACACCTAGGGAAATTTTGTGATTCTTTCCAGCTCATGGGGATTTTCAGAATAATAAGTGGATTTAATGATGTCATAGAATTCCCAGATATTTTCACATACAGTTTATAAGAAAATGTATATCTTTTCCTTTTGCAGTCTGTTTTCCCTAGCATTACTTATGTCGGCCCAATTCTAAAATTGATTGTGCTCCTTTCTTCTCCTTTACTTATGGGTCATGAATCTCCATTTCTTTTACCTTAATACCTCATTAATCCATCCCATTGCCTCCCCCATCCCACCTTCACCAGCTGATTTTTGTTCCCCAGTCTCATCTTCTATCAACCCATCTTTTGTGCTGCTGCTTGATCCTCTTTCTTAAATACAAATCTCACTTTTGAACTTCACCTGATAGGTTCCAGGCCAAATTGCTACAGGCTCACCATTGCCGTTTCTTAATATTGCAGTTCACCAAATTGCTGATCTCTCTCCAATGTCTTGAAATAGCTTTTATACATAGAGATTGAGCCCAGAATGCTCTCCCTGATGTCTTTCCCCAATCCACTAGCTCAAGACTACCTCTCATAATTTTATGCTGATCTTATGACTTTGGGTAGTTCTCAGACCCGGTGAGACATGTACTATCTTAGGTGCACAAACTTGGCTGCATTTATTGCCCTGTATTATAAAATATATTTGCTGGACTCTTTCCTGGATTTTGCCTTTTATTTTTATGTCCTGTATCTACCACAATGAACATATGTTAAAGATGTCATGAAAATGTGTTTTGAATGGATAAATTTATTAATAAAAATCAAGTTTTGGGCTGGCTTGTGGCTTAGTGGTAGAGCACTTGCCAGGCACATGTGAGACACTGGGTTTGATCCTCAGCCCCAGAAAAATAAATAAATAAAGACATTGTGTTCATCTATAACTAAAAAAAAAAAATTAAATCAACTTTTGTAAATTTGTGCTTATTTTAGAGAAACAATTTAAATGGTGACAAATCAGAATTTTAAAAATATTTTAACAGGGGAAAACAATCATATAACTTGCCTAAACTATTATACAGAAAGTATTGTTTTAAACTTAAGTTCCTATTGTCCTCCATGTTTCATGGACAGCACACAGGTAAGCCCATTTTTTCTTTTATTTTGTAAGTTAATGTGTTGACGTTAAATGTAAAGAATTTCAGTAATTGTATTCTTTTGTATGGTTCCCTAGAGAGTTGATAGTTGTGTCCACTTCACTAATCTCATTCCACTGTCCCTGTCCTGACAGTGTCTTCTGATACCTTATTCTCAGAATTCACTTTAGACTTTAATTTTAAAAGAAACTATTTTTTAAAAAAACATTTTAATTTGAATACTTGAAAGCATACCTTTCATCAAATTTATCAAAAGGAAAAATTGTCAGTTCTGCTTGCTTATGCACTGGGTCCTTATCTTTGAGGCACTTAAATAGGTTTATGCAAAATGATTTACTGAGTATCTGCTCTACTTCTTGGTAGGAAAATGAATCTTCTGTAACTGAACAAATCTATACACAGAATTGGGGACTTACTTCACATTAGCGATGCTCAACTTTAGATAGGAATGACTTCAAGAATGTGTTCCAGTATTAATTAAAAGACAGTGACCTACTTGTTGGTGCTCTGAATAAATATTTATGAAGTGAATGAGAAATAGAGGAATGATTCAATTATTTTGGAATCTTAAATCATACATATTTATACATGTCTACTTTGATTTTGATTAACTGCGAATTTATCCTATTATACAGAAAAAGAAAACTGGCACTATGTGCACTTCTTTCATACCACACTTAGAGATGTCTTTGCACTCCATCTGGAAAGTCAGTTATTTGCCTTGTTGCCAACTGAGTTCTTCACTAAGGAATATTACATTATTTAATAACCACAACTGACATTTATTGAGTGCATAGTGTGTGATAGGCACCATGCAAAATGCTTTGGAATATTTTATATCATTTAATCTCCATATCATCCTATGTCATTAAACAGTTATTTCCTGCTATTTTATATTTATAGATGAGGGAACTTAGGCTCAGAGAGATGGAGTAAGTGCCTCAAGTCATCCTGCCTGTCATGTTTAGAATTGGGACTGAAATCCCAAGTGCTTCAGAAGCCTTAGGCTTATCTACCTTGTGGAGCAACTCTACCTGCTAGTTACACACTTCTTAGAAAATAAGGTTATTATGTATTATCTTTCTGTGATTTTTGAAATTCACTCTTCTGGATGGCCAATTATATCATAAGTTCCATAATCTTTCTCTCAAGATTTAGGGAACCCATGCTTTGGCATCCTGTGTCTCTCCATTGGTGCTGGGGAATCAAAATACCTTAATTTGTTTTAACACTTTTTCTAATTCTACTTGTGAGTGGTGAGTGTTATCATAAAATTTTTCACAACACTGAAAATGAAAGAAGATGTTAATTATAAAATCACCAAGACAAAATACAGAAAATGAACCTGGTGGTCACACTTTTAGCCTACAGGGAGGAACTGAGTATTTTATGGATGTTCTACCATAGACACAGTGGTAACATCTGCAGCAAGTTTGAATGATTAACAGAAATTAACTTTCAGAAGATAGCCAATTAGGTAATGCTGAAAATAGTCATTTTTAATAAATGTCAGATGAATGTCACTGTGGAGAAGTGCCTATAGTGAGACCATCTACTAAGCTTAAAGTTTCATTAATACTTTGTGCAAGTATGTGATATGACTCAGATTTATTGGCATTAAAAGTATGATTCACAAGTTAAAAGAGAAAATGGCAAATAAAATCTTATCTTTTGCTAGCTTATGGGATGAACTGGACAATTATTTGGATATGTGTATCTTCTGATTAATTCATCATTATAATAATGTCTGGGGTTCTAGGTGAATCAGGCATGCCGTGTTATGCCTTTATTACAATATTTTCCTGTTAATAGCATTATCAAAATTTCTTTTAATTCCACGACTAACCTATAACATCTATATTTCTTACTCTTTCATTACCCCATGGGAAAATGTGAGGGAAACCTCTTTAGAGTACTGGTTAAAATCTACATATTAATTTGGTGTGTTATCTAATATGTTTGAAAATGTTGTTCATGAAAATTAATTTTGCTATGCAATTTTTAATTTAATTCAGAAAATTATTTATCACAAATTATTTTTTCTAAAGTTTCATAAATGAAAATATTAGATTTATTACATATGTAATTAACTGTAATATTATTTAAAGCTGTAAAATGAATAGCACAAAATATGATTATATTAACTGTTTTTGTACCTTTCAAGTTAAAATTTGACCATAAACTTTAATCTTATTTAAGTCAAGGACCATTGACTTATTATGACATATTTCCTAATAATTGTAATGATTTCTTTTATTAGCCCATGTGTAAATTCTCATCAATGCCTTTCTGTATTGTGTAAATAGTACAGAAAAATATGTGTATAAGAATATTGTAAAAATCTTTGTGTTGCATTTGCATAACCCAGCATGTATCTAATATACAATTAAACTCAATGAAATAAATTTTGTGAATTAAAAATTTAAATATTGGAAATATACTTTCAAATTTTACATTGTTAGTAATGATCTATAAGAGAATGTTAATAGAAAACATTTTTTTCTTTGTATATACTCATAAGAAACTTAAAATTTTATTAGACAATTTATCTTTCTCAAGCCTAACACAAAAGTTCACCAAAGCTGAAACTCTGCTTTTTAAAAAATTTTATTTATTTATTTTTGTAGTTGTAGATGGACAGCATGCCTTTATTTTATTTGTTTATTTTTTATGTGGTGCTAAGGATCAAACCCACTGCCTTATAGGTGTTAGGCAAGTACTTCGCTGCTGAGCTGCAGCCCCAGCCCCTGAAACTGCATTTTGTTTGACACATCAAATTGAAAGCTAGTCAGAAAGCAATTTTCAAAATGTGCTAAACTATATTTTTAAAATTTAAATGGCAACCATGACTTTGATAAAAATGAACATTTAAAATGAAATTGATGCATAGAATAAATTTGCTCATGGTCCTGGGTATTTTTTTTTCAACTTTTCAGTACCATTTTGGATTGATTCAGCAAAAATTATGGTTAATTTTGTATTCTATTAAAATGTTTACTGCTACAAAAAGAATCAATATTCTAATTAGTGCATTTATTCTAATAGTTAAAGGAGAAAAATATTGAGGATATTAGAATATCTTATTATATATTATATTTGACTCTTACTTTCATAAAACAAATATATATTTAAATTACCAATGGTTAACAAAGAAGTATCTGTGTTCTAAAACATGTGGCCAATTTGAAGGAAGTGAGCAATAGTATTTTGCAGAAATTAGATTAAAAACCATGCTTAGAAGGTCATCCTCTGAAATTTGGAGTAGATATGTTTTTTCCTATTCCATTAAGTGCAGATAACAATGTTAGGCCTTACAAAACAAACACTGATTCTGACATGAGCCAAACATTACTAGTGTTGCCCCAAACACCCTCAGCAGCAAATGCTGAGTGAAGATTTGGGAATGGGAGCTAAAATTTTTCATCCCTGATAATGAGAAACTCCTCTCATTCTTACTGAAAATTCTAAACTTCTGCTTTTGCCCTAGAAGAGCCATATACCCTTCTTCTATATTGTCAATGGAGGCAGAGTGTGGTACCTGAACTTTTGTTTTTGAAATGATGTCTTGATATTTGGCACGGGTTGATTGGTGTTGAATTCCTGGGCTCAAGTGATCCTGTGTCTCAGCCTCTTGGGTAGCTGGCACTACAGAAATGTGTCACCATGCCTGGCAGGAACCTGGACTTGTGACTCCCCAAATTTAACAAATACCTATAGAGTCAAGAAAGTGAGAAAACCCCAAGCAGAGTGCATTCCATAAAATCCTTGCCAAGGTACACCATCATCACAATTGTGAAAACTAGAGATGAGATAATCCTGAGAGCAGCAATACAGAAACAATACCGTATCAATTAGTGGAGAAAAGCAAGTTGAATGACAGCGTACTCTCATCAGAGACATAGAACCTAGAAAAGTGTCACAGCATTAGTCAGATGCTCTTACTGCCAGTAAAATTCTGCATCTGGTGAAATAATTCTTAGTAATGCATTTGGAAATCAAGACATTCTCAATGAAGGACACTAAAAATCCTTGTTATCAGCAGACTCACTTCCAAAGAATGGCTAAAGAAATTCTCCAAAGAGAAAGGGAATGATTAAAAAAAAAAAAAAGGAATTTTGGAACATCAGGAAGGAAGAAGTAACAATGAAAAGAATAAAATTATCAATAAACACAGCATCTCTTTTTCTGATTTTTCTTATGTTTGACTCTTAAGGCAAAGAATGACAATATTGATCTGGTTGCCAATATAATGTAATGTAAAGGAAATATTTAATATTATGAATATTTAGTATTGAGTGAGGATGCAAAGGGACATGAAAGAAGGTAAGTTTTCTATACTTCACTTGAAATTGTAAAGTGTCAGCAATAGTAAATTGTAATAAATTATACATAAAATTGTGTAATACCGAGAGCTACCACTAAAGAAAGCTATAAAAGAGATGTGGTAAAATCATTACAGATAAATCAAAGTGAAATTCTAAAACATGTTATGATGACTCCATAGAAATTCAGGGGAAAACATAACAGGAAAAACAATGAACAGAAAAAGAAAATGTCAGGGT